ACTCTTCAACAACTGCGGCGCCAGCAAGTTTCATTGCACGTTTTTAAAAATGTTTTTAAAATATTTTTTTTTTAACCTTTGTTGAGTGTTGCATTATATAATGTGTTTCTTTTCAGACAGTTTGTTCGAGGGTTGGGGGGGGGGGAGGGGGGCGCATTTTAAATGTTCTGCATCAGATGCCATAGTTTTGCCTGCTCAGTGTGAACACCTACGCGGAATTGTGTCATTGTATTCTCAACATGGATTGCCCCCACTGAGATTTGTGGTTGGAAGTAATCCACACTGTGAACGCATTTTTTTTAGAACAACTCCCCAAAAGGTTTTTGAGAGACTGCCGTTTTTTCCTTTGGTGACAGCGAGGTGAACAGAGTAAAACGTAGCATGTCAGCCGCAGTAGGGGATTGAATCAGTCACCCAAGTTGTCAAGGAAACAAGACTTTTTTTTTTTTACACGTCTCTGTCGCCATATTCAAAAGGTTGACTCGAACTCAAACCGAAGGCTGTGGGTATTTGCGGGTGGGGTGAGGCTCGTGTGTGGTTCGGATGAATGTGTGACAGAGCAGTTGCTGCCCGAGTTGAATTCTAAAAAATACGCCCCCCCCCCCCCACACTTTTTTTTCCAAACAAACACATGGATTATATAATTTACCCCCAAAGTGCCTCGTGGGGGGGGGGTGGGTGTTGCTGGTCGGATTGAATTCTAAAAAATACGCCCCCTCCCCCCACACTTTTTTTTCCAAACAAACACATGGATTATATAATGTACCCCCAAAGTGCCTCGTGGGGGGGGGGTGGGTGGTCCGCCCCCTTTTTCGCATTCCCCTATTTACGCCAGTGGAGAAACACACTTTTTGCTAGCTGGGTTGCAGGCCTTAATCAGGCACTTACAGACCTGATGCAGCTTGTTTTGCTTCATCTTTATGGGCCAGTGAATTGCCAAGGGTTGCAGTGAAACATGCAACAAAAAGATGTATTTACCCTTCCGTAAATAAACTTCTAATAAAATCAATATGATTGAAAGAAAGGTAATTTACAGCTCCCCTTCCATAACAGAGTGTTTTAAAAAATAGATACATTGTAGGGAATATTAATTAGACGCATCGTCAGAAAAAATATCGAAGGCCATTTAAACAGCATATAAGTGGCTTTATTAGCGTTCACACAAATGAGTGAACTGTTGAGATTATAAATAAATAAATACACAAACACACACACACACATATATATATACAAGAGAGAGAGAGAGAGATAGGGCGAGCGAGAGAGAGAGAGAGAGAGAGAGAGAGAGAGAGAGAGAGAGAGAGAGAGAGAGAGAGAGAGAGAGAGAGAGAGAGAGAGAGAGAGAGAGAGAGAGAGAGAGAGGGAGGGATATATAGAGAGAGAGGGGGGAAAAGAGAGAAAGGGGAGACAAAATCAAGAGAGAGAGAGAGAATGAGACAGAAAAAGAGAGAGAGAGAGAGACAATATATATATATATATATATATATATATAAAGAGAGAGAGAGAGAGAGAGAGAGAGAGAGAGAGAGAGAGAGAGAGAGAGAGAGAGAGAGAGAGAGCGAGAGAGAGAGAGAGCGAGAGAGAGAGAGATAGAGAGAAAGACAGGAAGGGATATATAAAGAGAGAACGGGGAAATGAAAGAAATGGGGGACAAAATCAAGCGAAAGAGAGAGAATAAGACAGAAAAGGAGATAAAGAGGGAGACAAAAGTAGAGATACACAGAGAGAGAGAGAGAGGGGAGAGAGAGAGAGAGTGAGAGAGAGAAAATAGAGAGGACGAGAAAGAGAGGGAGATTTTAGGAATTACGTTTATTGATAATCTTTTAGCTACACTGTCTTGCTTTAATTCAAAACTGAGAATATTACTTAGAGATAAGCTGGTCGACTGGTAAGATAGACCACAGATAATTTGGTAGAGTAATGCAACATTTTAATAATAAGATGGTCTAGAATAAAGATAGTCTAATCGTTTCATTGTCAAATGGTTTGATGGAATTACTCCGTCCCAGGATGGTACACCAGCGAATGTAGCACCGTTGTGAGATGATGGTGGCTATGATAAGTCGGTCTAGTGATATGATATCAAAATGATAATATACTCTAGAGAAATAATAGTCTTGTGATAAGATGGTCTAGGGATAAGATGGTTTAGTGATAAGATGGTCTAGTGATTAGATATTCTAGTGATATGATATTCAAATGATAAGATGGTCTAGTCATAAGATGGTCTTGTGATAAGGTGGTCTAGAGATAAGATGATCTAGTGATCAGATGGTCTAGTGATAAGATGGTCTAGTGATAAGATGGTCTAGTGATAAGATGGTCTAGTGAAAAGATGGTCTAGTGATAAGATAGTCTCGATATTAGATGGTCTAGTGACTAGATGGTCTAGTTTTTTAGTGTCAGGTATACTTACTCCATCCCAGGATGGTACACCAGCGAATGTAGCGCCGTTCTGAGAAGATGGTGACTGTGACGAGAATGTACAAGTAAAGACCTTCCAGGAAGACCCACGTGCTGCTGGTCAGCTGGACGTAGTTGAAGGTGGTGAACAACATCTTACACTGCCAGTGCTGCGGGATGTGATGTACAGAAAGAGAACCGCATTAGATGAAACAGCAACAGGCCAGTTGCACAAGAGCGCCAAGCTAAACATAAGAAAAGTATTTCGCGGACTGTCTAAGGTTTCTACGATGGTTATCCATTTGCCGTTCATTTTAGCTGGTGGCCTGGTAGGGTTATACTTTAAAAAATATACCCCATTATTCATTAATCATCATCATCATGTCCCTTAGTCCTTGGACCGTTGGGGCGCCACAGATGACATGTGAACGATCCTCCTCCATTCATCCATCAAACTTTTTTTTTTTTAAAGAAAGATTTCGAGTTTAGAGTTTGTTAAATAGAACATAACAATTGCATCTTCTATCATTACCCAAGAGGCACATACGAGGGACATCCTTCTCCGGCCATTAAACATGAATTAACCATTCAGGGACTCACCGATCCTGTCGGATCGAAAATGAATTGACCGGGAGACACCTCTATGACGTCATTTCGCAGGCCCAAGTGAATCACCAGCAGACTGTCCTTGAGGAATGACAGGAGCGCCCGTAGGACGAAGGCCAGGAATAGGTTCAGGTGTATTGTGTTTCTGGGACAGTGGAGACGTCTGGTGGGGGGGGAAAAAAAGTTACAATATAAAATTCTTCATAAAAGATTTAACTCATTTTAAAAAAAATAAAAAAATTGATGCACTTCCATGCTTTGACCTGTTAAATTAACCGCAGAAGCGGCACTGAGCACGAAACTTTTGACACAAAACATTGAAACGTTTAACGAACAGCTCTGCATTTGGAATTTTTTATTTGGAAGATAGATTTTCAATGAATGTTTAAGAAGCGGTGAGATGAGAAAACATATTTGCACTATCTCTTATGTATAATTTGCTTCTGGTGTGTCCTGCTTCCTCTTCACACGACCGCCCCCCCCCCAAACTCCTCATGATTTTTTTTATCAATCGTACTGNCGGCAGGTAGGGTGTAGGACTGGCAGTAGGCCTATTGCTTTAAAGGTCGGCAGGTAGGGTGTAGGACTGGCAGTAGGCCTATTGCTTTAAAGGTCGGCAGGTAGGGTGTAGGACTGGCAGTAGGCCTATTGCTTTAAAGGTCGGCAGGTAGGGTGTAGGACTGGCAGTAGGCCTATTGCTTTAAAGGTCGGCAGGTAGGGTGTAGGACTGGCAGTAGGCCTATTGCTTTAAAGGTCGGCAGGTAGGGTGTAGGACTGGCAGTAGGCCTATTGCTTTAAAGGTCGGCAGGTAGGGTGTAGGACTGGCAGTAGGCCTATTGCTTTAAAGGTCGGCAGGTAGGGTGTAGGACTGGCAGTAGGCCTATTGCTTTAAAGGTCGGCAGGTAGGGTGTAGGACTGGCAGTAGGCCTATTGCTTTAAAGGTCGGCAGGTAGGGTGTAGGACTGGCAGTAGGCCTATTGCTTTAAAGGCTGGCATATATTACAGAAAATGAGAAGTTAATTCCTTTTTTTATTTGTGTAGCACCTAGACCCATCGGGTATTTTCTCAAAATAGCCGGGTATTTTCTCAAAATACCCGGACCCGGTGTAAAAAATTATTTCCACCCGGTAAAGTCCTAGTTATCTTATTTCTCGAGTTATTATAAGATCTAGCGCTGTAAAGGAGATGCTGACTCTAAAAATATTAATTTATTTAGTTAGTTTTTTTCCCTAAACATTAATTAGATATTTCCGAGCTTACCTAAAATAAATCATAATAAAAATGGCGATGAGCAGCGCTATCAATGAGATGCCGTATCCCACACTGTACATGATCTTGATTCGTTCAATGTGATCCTGGGGGAAAAAAAAAGACACGTTAAAAGAAAAAATCAAAACACTATCTCTCTTTTTTTTAATGACACATCATTTTATATTTCTAAAGGAATGGTTTGCGAACACTGCACAGATAGTCTACATGCTGGTTGGGAAATAGGGCGCAGTGCTAGAGAATTCGTACCAAAAAAAAAAAAAGTTTTATTTCGCTTACTGATTCAAAAATGTAAAAAAAATAAATCTGTAATTAGAAATAGGTAAATCAAGGATCCAATAAATTCTTTAAAAGAATTTACAAATTATCGATCTCTTTTTCACTAACAGTTGAATCAATGTTCAGCACTGCATGATGCCTCAATGCAGGCAGTGAAGTGATGCGCTGGTTCAATCCCTCCAAACGAAAATTAGTTGTTGAAAAAAATAAATATTACAAAGCGATTGTGTTTTACTCTTTTTAAAACATATATCTTGTGAACATTTAAATGGTTAACTGTTTTTAAAAGAAAAAAAAAAAAAAAAACAAATTTAATACAGCCTTCAATAAAAAAATAAATATTACAAAGCGATTGTGTTTTACTCTTTTTAAAACATATATCTTGTGAACATTTAAATGGTTAACTGTTTTTAAAAAAAAAAAAAAAAAAAAAATCAAATTTAATACAGCCTTCAAGCGCCCAAACCGAAGGAGAAAACCTTAAATGAAACCTTACATGAGACTTCAAACGTATGTCCTCAACGGCGACATCGAACAACGGTGACATCGAACAACGGCGACATCGAACAACGGCGACATCGAACAACGGCGACATCGAACAACGGCGACATCGAACAACGGCGACATCGAACAACGGCGACATCAAAGTTTGTATTGTGAATGTCAGTATTGAAAACAACACCCGGGTCAATGGGGCCCGTTAACCTTGGATGGCAACTCATGGAACACCAGCACCCCGGGTGGATGGGACATGTTAACCTTGGATGGCAAATCACCCAAGACCAGCACCCCGGGTGGATGGTACCCGTTAACCTTGGATGGCAAATCATCCAAGACCAGCACCCCGGGTCGATGGGACTCGTTAACCTTGGATGGCAACTCATCTAAGACCAGCACCCCGGGTCGATGGGACTAGTTAACCTTGGATGGCAACTCATCTAAGAGAAGGAAACTCTGAACTCAAAACCCGGAGATGGAGTCCCGTTGGCGGATAACATTGGTAAACAATGAAACATTCAGACAACTCCTGCGACGCCACTGGTGTCAAGCTGTGTCATCCACGTGATGTTCCCTTGGGCTTATCCAGCGGCGCAGAGAGGGGCGATTCGCTGTTGGGAACCAGCTTATAATCCTAGAAGAATAATCCCTTGTGGGTTTCGTCCTGCGAACTGCGAAGTCTTCACCATCTTCAGTCACATTGTGAGGGATGGATGCCAGCAAAAGAAATAACAAATATATACATTGTTGTCTGTTAACAAAACCACCACCCAACAGGCTGCTCAACGTTAAATGATCACCTGAACCCGACAAGCTATCGAATTTAAGTAAATATTTAATTGCTTGTTTGTTGTGGAGTGTGTCAATGCCATCCCACTCCTCACCCCCACGCTCGGATTCTCAGGTGGGGAAAAAACAACAACACATTCATCAAAGTTGATGGTATTTATCGGGTTGACACACTACAATGCCCCCCCCCCCCCCCTTTTTTTCTGTCTTCTGTTTTAACTTTAACTTATCAGCAATTCATTTGCTGGAACCAACTGCGTCATAGCTGTCTTGTTAGATGATGTACCGGGTCAGGTCATCCCCGGGCTCGTCTTACACCGGACCACACTTAGCTGCAGGTCACCGCCCACACTCTCCATCACCTTTAAATCCGCTGCCCACGTTCTTGTCTGTCTAAATACCAGACTTAATTTTGTATATGTTGCAACTATTGTCTGGCCTAATAGACTCGTATTTACAGAGAATCAAGTTGCTTTAAAGGAGGAAAAAAAAAGGACCGGGTTCTTCTTATTATTTTTTGTTGTTGTAGTTGTAAGGTTATGTGTTATAGTTGCCCGTGAATCAGAGCACAGCCGTTAGACTGATGCACGAGAACCAGTTACAGCCGTTGGATTTCCGAGCGATATAGACAGTTAATGAAATGGAGAGCTCACACGTTTTAATCAGTCACAAGAGAGATATTGCTGCGTGCACTAGAGATGCACACCGGGTGACCTCACCGTGTGAGCTGGTCAGCTGCGTGCACTAGAGATGCACAGCGGGTGACCTCACCGTGGGAGCTGGTTAGCTGCGTGCACTAGAGATGCACACCGGGTGACCTCACCGTGTGAGCTGGTTAGCTGCGTGCACTAGAGATGCACACCGGGTGACCTCACCGTGGGAGCTGGTCAGCTGCGTGCACTAGAGATGCACACCGGGTGACCTCACCGTGGGAGCTGGTTAGCTGCGTGCACTAGAGATGCACACCGGGTGACCTCACCGTGGGAGCTGGTTAGCTGCGTGCACTAGAGATGCACACCGGGTGACCTCACCGTGGGAGCTAGTTATTGCTCTACACGTCACTGTCATTTTATACTTGCCGGATACACCAATTAAAATTTTACAAGGGGAGATCATGCAGGGAATCTCAAACATGAAAAATAAAAAAAAACTTCAAAGACAAAATTTTTTTGAATAATTTATTTGAAAAAAAAAATGGGGAAAAAATGTGTTTTGTTTATATAATAAATATGAGCTTAGTTAATTAAAAAAAAAGTGAATGAACTTTTTAGCACTAGAGATCAGATGTACGCCGGAAGTGACACTCAAAATTTCTGGCATATCAGACGGGTCGGTACGGGTTGTTCCCCCCTTGACATGTGACCGATGCTCACACGGTAACATTGCAGAAATAAATCACTGGCAAATCCCCCTTTCGCGCCCTGCCTGTGTACACCACCCTGGGTCTATGCTGCAGACAAGCTGTGGCGCACGCGCCCTGACTTTGTGTACGCGCCCCTTAATGTTAGGTAACCGCTCGGACACGTTGCACGCCCCGGCTGTACGCACGCGCCCAGGGTATAGAGTTCGACTATCGATCACCTGTTCGTGTCTCAACCGCGTTCAAGGGCTTGATTATTCCACGTTAGTTAGGCTTCTCGTTTTTAAGTTAAATATCTGCATTATAGATAGAGGTTAGAGGAAATATCTGCATTATAGATAGAGGTTAGAGGAAATATCTGCATTATAGATAGAGGTTAGAGGAAATATCTGCATTATAGATAGAGGTTAGAGGAAATATCTGCATTATAGATAGAGGTTAGAGGAAATATCTGCATTATAGATAGAGGTTAGAGGAAATATCTGCATTATAGATAGAGGTTAGAGGAAATATCTGCATTATAGATAGAGGTTAGAGGAAATATCTGCATTATAGATAGAGGTTAGAGGAAATATCTGCATTATAGATAGAGGTTAGAGGAAATATCTGCATTATAGATAGAGGTTAGAGGAAATATCTGCATTATAGATAGAGGTTAGAGGAAATATCTGCATTATAGATAAAGATTAGAGGAAATATCTGCATTATAGATAGAGGTTAGAGGAAATATAATAGATTTTTTTAAAAAGAAAAGTAATACATCTAAAATGTCTTACATTAAAATTTCACTTCATTTTATTTATGCTTTCATTTCTTTGAATTGAATGTACTGAAAATCAACGTGGACAGTGTAATCGAAAACGCCCCTCCATTTGTTGAGATCTTTAAAAGAGTATTACTCTTGTGATTCAAAATGGATTTTCGGATTCTTGTTGGAAAAAAAAATGAAATAGCACAGAGCATTCCCATT